AGTTTTTACAGAAAAATATAAGGAATATTATGGGAATGTTATGGAGTACCGCCTCCACCTGGGGCTGTAGACAGCTCCTAATCCTGCCCCTGCTCACCAAGCCTTTAGTAGCAGTCACAGCTATGCAGGTGAAGGACAGTCAGAGATGGTGTTTCTCCTTAAGGCGTGACTGCTCCACTAAGCCAAACAACACTAAACTGATTAACATTTGTGCAGCTTACTGTGTAAGGTATAACAAGGCCCTAACACGGCTAACTACCTCAGGGAAGAGTTATTACAGCTCAATAAAAATAGGCATTTAGTGGTGCTGATTCTCTTCAGCCTTATAAAGGCAGAATATTTGACTCTGCAGTCCCAGCCATTCTTTACTTCCTCTCCTGCTTCTCCAGACTCAGCAGCCATTAGCAAGAAGGTTTATGAACAAAAGGGCAGGCCTTTGGAGTCTAGTAGAAGTAGGTGTTAGAAAGGGGTTGTATTTCTGGCCTGGAAACTGGTGCATGGGCATGTGTGCATAGGCAACTTGTTCAATAGGAATGTTGGGTCAGAGAAGTAACAGAGCTGAGTAGAAGTCTTTCAAAATATACCTGGAGAGAAGGGGAGGGGGGACATGGAGACACCTTGATATTTACAGTCCCACCCAGTATGTTGGGCATTAGCCATTTCTGCCTCTACCAGCTACCTTCATGATTCACACTTAGGCCCATATCATGTAGTGGATATTTGCTATCAGTTGTCTCTGTAATGCTGAGCCATTTTGACAACAGATAAGTACGTAAATTAGAATGCAACAACATTCTTAGTAATGTGGGGTGCTATGTCATTATCTGCTCCTGGTGTTGTTTGCTTTAAACATTGCAGGAAGACATACAAACTAATAACAGTATTTCACATCTGGCAAGAGGCTGCCAATAAAATAAGGGAGAAGCTCGCATCTGTTTGGGAAGGATTACCTAATGTTATAGAGTATAATTTTACATAAGATACTCTATCTAGGCATAAATTGGGTTCTTCACTCTGAAAATGTATGTATTTTGACAGGCAAGATGATTTATTTCATTTAATAAGGAAACTAACATTCTTTGAATAGCATCTGGCAGTCAGCTATATATCAGTGTTGCATTCTGTGTAACAGAATTTATTTTCTGTAACCACAGTTTTCACAAGAAGCTGGCTTCAGAGATTACATGTCTACACAAGGTCCTATTTAGAACTACTCCCAGCATCAAGGAACTACAGCCGCTGCAATAGCCCCTCCCTGCTCAGCTATGCCCAATGGACATTAGGCACAGTTGAGAATTTGGGGTGTGAGCTTTCAAATGTGTTCAACAGAAGTACCATAGCTTCCCAACCATGTTTATCTTGGACTGACTTGTTAGTCTCAGAACTAAGCTACAACCAGTGCTTTAGCAAGGAAGTTTGGCACCCGGGGCAAGCCCACAGCAGAAGCCCACCCTTGCCCTGCACACAGATCTGGGGGGCACTCGCCCCCCCCATGTTTGCCCAGAGGTGCACACAGCGATGGGACCCACCCCCACTTCCCCGCACCCCCTGGAAGAGCCACTCGCTGCTCCATCCTGTGCCCCGCCCTGACTGGGCAGTGCCTTCCCCAGTCCCAACCCCCCTCACCAGGGGGCCTCCATTTGCCCCCCTCCACTCCTTCCCCACCACAACAGACTCACCAGCTGGACGGTGTTCTCCAAACTGCTGGGCTGGCTGTGTGCATGCTGTGGCTGCATGCATGCACACAGCATTTATCAGCCATATCAGCCAAAATTTTTCAAAATTTATAATGAAATATTGGCTCGCGACTTGCCAGTTGGTGCCCCTTCACTTTGGCTCCAAGGGCGGTTGCCCTGCTCAGCCCTCCCTTGCTATGGTACTGGCCACAACAGATAGATGTGTCTGTAATTCCATTAGTTCCATCATAAAGAGGATGTTGGGTATGTGGCTGTATAGACTGAGTTTAAAAATTAGCTGCTGCCCTAAGCCAGTGGAGTTGGCATACTATTCCAGCATGAAGTGAGCCAATAGAAGATTAATCCAAAATTCACAGCAAATACAAACTAACCAAAAATTCCAAATGCAAAAGGGACAGATTCCATCTTTCCCACTTATTTTGAATGTGTATAGCTCAGGTGGGAGCTAACAAACTTTTTTCCACACAAAAAACACAAACAAGTATATTTGTGTTAAGAAACCCTTCTCAAGTGCCGGTTGTAAGCAGAGATTGCAGAGCTCCCAGAAAAGATGGATGTCTGTTATGTTGCTGGTGGTAAAATCAAACCTGTGGCTCTAGACTATTATTATCTGAGCTATTCAGTGAAGCAGAAGCAGATTAAAAAGCTAAGTCTCTTTTTTTTCTTAAGCCTTGTTTAAGTATAAAAGTTGCACCACTTTAATTGTACTAATATAGTTGAAGAGTTGTATCAATGTAAAAGTACTTATACCAGTATAGATTACTCTTGTGTGCTATAGGGAAGAAGCCGTGATGTTATAGGTCACCTTTATATTGGCAACATTATGTCCAAACAAAGGGAATGTACTGGTAAAAGTATGTAAGTAAAAAATTGCACCCCCACCAAAATAATTATACTGTTATAAAAACGATATGTAGTCCAGGTGCAAATATCTATTTTAGCCTGCAAAGTAAAGGGGAGGTTTTCAGAGTGCCTATAAGATTTAGGAACATAAGTCATACTGACCTTGTTTCACTTTCAGTTATATTTGTACCTGTGAATACTTTCGGTGCTTTTGCAAATATCACCCAAAGTCAACATTTATTAGTGCATGTGTCCTAAATAGAGACATTCATCCATATTTGAACATCTAAATCTTTGGCCTGATGTCTATAACTTCTGAGTATCACCACTATTGCTATCTACTTCAGCAGAGTTGTGGAAACTCATAGATTCTGGAAGATCAAGCCCTTTCAGTGTCCTCGTATATAGAAGTGCTCAATTTTATTTAACCAGGTTCGAAATCTTGGCATAAGATACAGCCACTACAAGGTTTTCATTGGTTATTCACTGTATCAATCATCATGAAATCTTCTAGAAGCCCCCAGAAACTGCTTTTTTTACTGAAATTAACCATTAAGAGATTCATAAGCAAAACTATGCAAATATATCACCACAGGTATCTGTATCTAAGGACTGAAAGCGGCCTAGTAGAGCACATTGTGCAAGGTGCAAGAGACATAGGCAGGTTTGGAAACAGCCCTACTCTCACGCTTAGGCAATGATAGTGAAGCACTCGTGTCTCAGGAAAAGGCTCACTGCTGCACAGGCTTTTTTTTTTCTTTCCTGAAGCACACAACAGCAAAGCACTCCTTCTGGTAGCTTAAACAGTGCTGCTACTATTTGCCAGGGAAATAACAATCCCAAGAATGAGCACAAGATTCTTTGTTGGATGTTGCTGAAATCTGCCTTTTGCTGAAGACCGTTGTTGTTAAGCAAAACTAGTACATAGATACTTAGGCTGTACCACCACAAAAATGTAGTACTGTATATCATCATGCTTCCCTATAAACCCCAGCATGCTTTATTGCGTGAGCCCTGATCCTCTCCCACTGAAGCCCATGGGACTTTTGCCATGGTTCTAAGATGCACAGGATTCTCGAATTACTTAAATTCTGAAACTCCAAAAATCCTACCGTGACCTCAGGCTAAACATTTTAACTTAATGCATCGAAGAATTTCTATGCCCAAAACAAACAGCTCCAATTAAAGAAAAAAAAAGAAACAGAAACTGAATTTATATTATTTTGTAATCATAGGAATGACAGCTGTTTTGTCCAGCCTCCTTTATTGCTGGACTGATTCCATTACTGTGTGACAGATGTGCTATTTATGGAAGGGGATTCTGCATATTTTAAAGCACTGACTGTTTGGATCATCTGATTCCAAGTCTTTAAACCAAACAGAACAAAATGCCAAAGCTAAATTTATTTTTCCACTGCTAAAATATCTGCAAATTTCAGAGAAGAAACAAAAATTACTTTAAAAATAGCAAAACAAAAAACAAGAAAAGAAAACAATCCTTAACATCTAACAAGGTTATCTGTAGGTCTTAAAAATGGCTACATTTATATATTTCTAAGGTGCCCTTTATTATAGCTGTGGAATTTAACATGCTGAATTAACAGCATAGTTGTTGTTAGCTATCCCTTGTAGAAGATGAGCATTTGTACAGACATAGCAGTGTACACAAGCATTCATTTATTTCAGTGGCCGATCAGTAGCAGTTTGTATTCATTATATATTAATAAAAATACTTTGGCAAAATGTATTCAGAACTAGTATTGCAATATTTAGAAACAGTGTTTCCCAGGGTTTAAAGAGGACTCAGCTTTGTGTATGTGGGGGAGGGGGGAAGAGAAAATTGAGAAGCCCCAGAAAAGCATTTTTAAAAAACCCTTTTTTGAAAGCATCTACCATTTAAGGCTCTGCTTAACTTTACCTGACAGTTCAGCTTTACAAGAAGGTAATGTCGACTGCAGCAAGCTGTGCCGTCTCTCTCATTCTCCCTTTGGGGACATGTTGACAATGGAAACATAGCAAAACAGTTTTTGCTTATTAGGCAGTTTTTCAAAACCTTGCATAAGCAGCTTTTTCCTCCCTTTTACTCTGTGTTGTTCCACACATTAAACCTTTTATTGTAATTTGAGCTTTACAAAAAAATGAGGAGGCATTTTTTTAAACGTTTGCCTCTACTTATTTAAAAATATCTAATTCCCATGATTACCTTCTTGCAATTTCTGCAAAGGGTGATGCCAACATAATACTTGCAGCCAAACAAAATTCCCATTGTTAATCTCGGAAGGTAGAGGAAAGCCTTTAAGTAGATACTGTGAGATTTTGTAATTTTGCTGCTGAGGCTTAGTATCCTGAAATAATTTTTGTCATCAAAAACGACAGCACTTTGGTGACTGCAGTGACCTCCATGATGTCAGAATGTCATTGTGCAACCGTAGCTAAGAAAAGCCTCTGAGAAAAAACAAAGGAGTGTTGCATCTCCCTATAACATGAGATGTGCATATACAGTATGTAGCATTTTGGAATTCATACCGTGCTAGCAAGTTGCTTTCAGTTTGATTAGGCAATCATTGTTTCGTTTTCCTTGCTTTGACAGTGAGTATGCTTGTTTGCTGCTTAAGTAGTCTTAGCGTTATTTAGGTCAATATACTTAGGATAGCTTTTATGGTCTGTAACAGTCTGATATGTACAGTATCTAAAAGACAGAAGAACCAAATTTTTGTTTATCTACTTATTTATTTTGTTACCTCTGTGAGTATTAAAACACTTTGTAATTAATCAAAATTCTATGCAACAAAGTATCTACCATTTCTGCATTGCAGATATATTTAGCTCTAACATTGCTTGTGGTTAACAGGGTGTAGCGTAGACACAGACAGCTGATCATGCAATTGGACCGTGAGCTCGTGTGGTTTTGTCAATACTGCTCAGAATTGCAATAAACTGTAAAAAAGAAAAAAAAGGGGGGGGGGGGGGGAGGGAGGAGAACATATATCGCATGATGTGCCAGAATTAGAGCTTTAGCAGTGATCATTTTATTGATAGTCTTTTTGTTCATTTTTAAAAATTATACAGCTGAAAAATTAAGAGATCACAAATACATGCAAGACCTAAGATGTACTGTATGAAATCTTCATTAAGATGATATCACTCTAGTCATTCTAGCATTTCTCCAATGAGCAAAGGGATTGTTTTGTTTCCCTCGGCAGGCAGACTCACCCACAGTACAAGAAGGTTTTGCTAACAGTTTAAAAAGCCTACTACTGTATCACTGCAGAATTTGGAGTTTACTAACAGTGTTTAGTGACTGGAGCTCATCTTGCATCACCAGTTGATGACATTTTTCTTTGTTCCCTCCCACCCAGTTGAACCAAGACTGTAGCTGATACGCAATGTCACTTACAACATTAATCAGATACTGCATTTAAGGTGAGCTGTCCCTTGCCTCCTCCCTTACCAGAGCTGTGCTGCAGTATGTATCTTACTCCTGCTAGCCTAAAATGGCAGGCAGGATTAACGTTGCTTGTGCTGTGTGCATGCTGTGTATAGAATTCATTATACCGTGCATAGTATTTCAAATGTGAGTATGTAAATGGTCTGTGTGCCATGTCATGCAGTAGTGAAGACTTGTTTGTGCTTCATTACAGGCTTCAATATTTCAGCATCACCTTCAGAATTCTATTTAATTTGCAATGTGGGGAGCTGTTAGCTTGTCATCACATTCAAAATACATTATAGCCCTTAAGAGAAAAAAAAAAAGAAGCAAGCTCTGCTTCCAGATGGTGTCACCCTTTTTCTTCTTGCATTTATTGTAGTTTAAATAATGTATGTTGTATTGTTAATTAATGTGAATATCGAATTAAAGCACTTGAAACTTACATATTTATTATGCAGGTAGGAGGCACGTTGAATCTATTTTTAACTCTTACGCAGTCCACGTTGTGCAATGGGCTTTGGTTGTCGAGTTTATATTTTCAGCAGTGATATCAATAGGCTGATTTTCAGCAAATGTGACAAGTGGCCTTTCCAGTGGTCAGCTTCAAGCTTTGAACCCTCTGAGGAGAGGGGACAAAAAAAACCTTGTGTGGCAGTTTCGGAAACCTTGGATGAGGACTTTTTTTCCCCCCCTCCCCACCCTTGCTTTCCTTATTGATAAATTCAGTTCTCCTGATCACGGTCTATTCAAGCTGCTTCCCATCTGATTTTTGACAACTGCTTCTAAAAAAAATTTTGAGAAGACCAAGAATTCAGTTTATCACCATCGCTTTATATAAAAATGGCTGGGTACATTGCCATGCTCACACTGCATTAAGTGGTACACACAGGTAGGTTTTGATTTGCATGTTTTACAGATTTCTTAGTCAATGCTGCAAGAACATGAAATGGGTTTAAAATTGTAGCTTGCAATATAGAATTGTATTGAACAGTTTAGTTAAAGAAATCTCAAGGCAACCTAATACTAAATTGAATGGCTTCACATACTGGGATTACAATTGTTTTTTACTGTTAAAAAAATCTGTTGTGAAAGTAGAACAGTCATGTCTGTTACAATAATCATATGTACTAAGGGCGTGGCAACGCTTATGCAACAAAAGAATTTTTGAAATGCCTATTGTTTTGGTAGCATTTTTAAGGCTACTATGAAAATTATTGAGCTTGTGGTTAAAATATAAAAAATAAAAGTAAAGATATATAAGAAAAATGAAAAATATTTAAATTCTGCGTCGGAAGCGCTTTTTCAATGTGCTCTGTGAAATCTTAAATAAAGATTAATTTGCTTTGACACAGACATTTGCTATATCAGGTAAAAATGTAAACCCACAGTGTTTCTTTTTATTTTAAGGCATAAGGTTTTTAAAGAGACATAGATAGAGATGGCCCTGTCAGCTTAAACTGAACATCAGTTCAATGCAGTATGGCTTATTTCAAACAATAACTAGCCCTATGGCCATAAAAGCCTGCATTTGAGGTATTAAATAAATAAATGCATATACATATCTATGTGTATATATATCAGTATTGTACTCTTTAAACCAACTTCTGAAATATCTTTGTTTCAGATTTAATACTGGGCCAGAACATGTTTCCTTGGCAACCAAATCCTTTTAAAAGGTGCAATAGTAGAGATGCAAAGGAAGTTATTCTTGTTTAATGCCACAATGCAAATGGAAATGTTGTTGTTAAGTTTCTTTTCAATTCAAAATGAGAATCTGATGTCATTTTGTGTTTCCATGCGGCTATCGTTTCTTAAATGATGCCATGTTCATAAAGCTGTACATAACAGAAAACAGATTTTTTCCTGTTTTGCATTGATTGCTTCCAGAAATGTACCTGAGTGTCCTCTCTTTTCTTGATCTTTTTAGTATAGCTTGAGCTAGAATTCGAGGTATGTGCAGTATTTATATAAAGCAGTAGTTTCATTATCACTGGTGTATGAGTATCACTAAAACGATAAGCAGCTAAGAAGTGTAGAGAATTGCAGGCGTACTTAAGCCATTTTCACCAGTACTGAATTTAGCAACAATAATCCAATGGCTCTTTCATTACATAGAACGCATTCTGAAGTCCAACCAAAGCACTGTGTTTAGCCATTCTGAAAAAGTACTTATGTCTTGGGACATCAACAAAGCTTAATATAAATTCCTTTTTGGTTTACCATAAAGATGTCTTAGATTCTGCAGTTTGAATAAATAATTTCTGAGTTAAAACAGGTTATCTAACACTTTTAACAGTATCTGTAAAAATCTAACCTGTGTGCTAGAGGATATTGCTTAAGCAAATGTCTCCCCACTTAGCTTATAATGGTGTATCTCCCTACAATATCCTTTGTACATGACTTGAAAAATTCTCATTGCAAAAAGACTTTTGCAGCTTGGTAGCCATTTTCCTTTCATGTCCTTGACTTTAATGACTAAGTACATTTTGTGTGGATGAGGATCAAGAATAGAAACATAACCACAAAGGAAATATTTAAAGTATGGTTTTAGTGGCCATTTTATATTAGAACAAATAGCATTAGCTTTTTCATTCGTATTGAGCTAATTTTAATTTATTTCTGAAAAGATCATCAGTTCAGTGTGTTCTGAATAAACAACGTTATTGTTCAAGAAAGTGACTGCTCTTGTCTGTTTTGATAGGCCATTATTTAATAATCATTCTAAATTCAGTTTGATATATAATTACAATATTAAATTCACAAAATACAATCATATACCCCCATTCCATTTAAAGAAACAGAACTAGAAACATAATCGATTGATCAGCATTTGTAAGTGATATTTTTAATAGAGATTTTATTATGTTTGTGATTTCATTCTCTCTGATTGAATTAATTTGATATATTTTACTTTTGTAACATTCTTAGTAGGTATCTCTTACATGCTCTCAAGACTATTTTTTATTTTCTTTCTGTTTTGTATGGAATTATGCTTAAAGAAATTCTGCTTGCTACTGAGTTGAAGTGGATCATATTTATTACATTTCAAAATAGTGTTCGCGTATTATACCAGGTCTCAGCAGGAGAAGGGCTGTTATATGAGTACGGTTAGGTTTATTATTATTGTTACCTACAACACTTAAATAATGCAAATGCTCCTGTTGGCTACATCATGATGTTTCAGCCTGGTTGTTTTGACCGTATAAGCAATTATTTTCTATCATTAGAGTACAGATCCTTGTATAACTATTATAACTGAGTTCATAAATGCTTCCCTGACTTGGAAAAAAATCACTGCTGGCTTGAGAGCAGCAATTGGTCCTAGGTGAAGAAGATCATTTGCTTATTAAGAATGATTCTACTAATGATCAAGCTGTTCCTAGTTTGAACATCCTACATGGTTTGATGTGCATGTTTTAATAGAATATTATTAATTAATGTGAGGTGCCCAGATGCTGTGGCAATGGGCACCATATGTAAATCTTGTGAACTACATCTGTTTTATTCTCCTTGGCTATGGGACACAAGTGAGGTGCTGGAATCGTGCAGGTTTTCACACCCAATGTACAACTAGTAATATTTTTAGTTAGTTCTGCTTCAGGTGCAAAATATTTGACCTGCATTTTTTTCTATTTGTAATCTGTTGTTTTATGCCCATGTATCCAATTTCTGCCTAGTAGAAAAACTAACCAAATTTTGAGTGCGCAGAAAACAAAAATTGTTCATTCTGTTACTATTTCACTTTTAAATAATCTTATCAGTAAAGTTAAGTCTGATTTAGGCTGTCTGAAACTGCATAGCTTATTAGCATGAAGCTATCCATTTAGTTGATTTAGTTATATTGTCACAAACTTTGAATCAGATACTAATGATATTGGAATCTCTCTAATCTGTCTTGGACATCTAGTGGCTCTTGTAGTACTTTATTATCTGGTTATTCTCCAGCACTGCCATGTTGTAGTTTTCAATTTTCACATGTCCTGCTCCCAGGTAGCCCTTATTCCTCAAAGTTCTGTGTTCAAGCTTCAAGTTCATTGGAATCTTTAGTATGGGCTTCTGAACATCAGCATTTTATTACTGTTTTGGTATGGCCAATTATACTGATATTTGAGGCCCAGCCTTCTTTTAAACTTGCCTTGCTTAAATGCAGGTACCATGACACAGAATATCTCTTTGAAACAACCATGAAAGTAGACTTTGCAAAACAATCAGGATACAATGGTCTGAGCTTTGCCATTTAAAATATAGCCAGTAGATTATGCAGTTACTGTGAATGTTTAGTGTTGTTAACCATACAGTTGTGAATGGAGGGTGGGCCCTTAGCTCTTTTATCCCTAATCTTTGCTACTCTACTACTGTTACAAATCACTTGAGTCACAAGGCCTTACCCTAAAACTTAGCAAGGTGCTATACAAAATAATTTAAATATTTCTTGCAAAACTGTCTTCTAAAACATTTTACAGAGAAAAAAGAGAGAGAGAAATTAGGATGTTTTTTTGGGGGGGAGGCGGGAAATGATGAAGAGGCAGCTAAGCAAAGAGCAAATATGGCAAATGTATTCTGGAGGAGTTGTCTTGAAGGGTCTTGCAGACAGAAAAGATTTTGTAAGAGGTTGAATCAAGTATGTGGAGGATTTTAAAATCAAGGACAATTTTGAATTGTGTTTTGTAATTTGTCAGTCAATAATTATTTGAGTGGTAATGAAAATTAATTTTCAGTCTCCAGTCCTTTGGGTTGTGTTAGTTTAAATCATATTTAAGTATAGTTTGCCTGATCAGTGAAGCACAACCAGCATCTATTCTAGATGAGGTCCTACACTTCAGCCTAGTATGAGTTGTAAAACATTTATGCTCAGTTTATACTAAAGAAGGAAACCATACTGAAGTACTGCTAGCATATATACTGCTAAAAAGTGGATGTACCAACAACACTTGTGCATTGCCAGTGTATTTGGGAGTCTTACTGACAAGGGAAATAGTTCTAAATCTATAATGCAGCACCCAATTATGATTAGGGAAATAGCAAGAGTGACTAGAAAGTAGTAATAGTGTCTTGCCTTTAGTTAATCTATTTTAAACTTGGGTTTCCCACTTTGCAGCTTGATACAGAGTAGCCACAGAGAGAACCTACATGCTATTTCGCTGAGCTGATTTTGCCTGAGCATACCCGTTTATGCTATCTTAACAAGACAGTAGCATCACAGCAACCTGAATTTAGGTAAGTCATTGTAAGAAGTAATTACAGTAAATTGAAAAAAATCTTTTGAAAAATCCTCAAAAATGCAGGTAAAAATATTGGATAGTAGAATTCAGAACACATTTATTCAGTGTAGCAGCTGGAAGGAGCTAGACTTTTTTGACATGTGAAATTTAACTTCATTTGTTCCAACTGCTGTGCTGTGTTGCTGTAAATAAGTGTCAATACTGTTGGATTTTTGTGAGTTCCTGCACAATTATTACTGCTGGAAAGGCTGGAGGAGGGAAGGCAGGAAAGGCATTAGTGCCTTGAAACAGATGCCTATAGTCTCGGCAAAACTTCCAAAGTCTGTACAAACCACAGTAGATATGTGGGTAAGGCAGAAGTCTGCCCTGCTATAATTACAGAAAGGTTCCAACAGTTAGGAGCCCTGGCTTCAGGAAGCCCTGACTTCTTCCTTCATAAAGGACAATCTGCTCCATAAAATCAAGATCCTGATGACTATTGATAATTAAAAAACCCTTTGACATTTGACAAAGGTAGAGGGATTACATGGATGCCTTGGCCAGATTCTAATTTTAGCAAGTATATGCCAAAGTACAGTACATATATATCTAAAACTCCACTTGCGGTTTCGATCTGAATGCTATATATCTCATGTCATACCGGCCTAAACTCTACATCTATAAATGACTATATTTCAGCAGTGCATAAAGCAAGGCCTTTCTACTGTAGATAAAATATACAAAAGTGCTTTTAAAGATGAGGTATGTGCTTTATACATTGAGAGAGAATATTACACACACACAGTTCTAAATTTTGTATGGTAAATTTATGCATAAGCGGGAGAGTTCCTTTCCACTTCTCTTGTCATGAATTTAGAATAATCATATCTATTGAAAAATATTCCTCTTTGTATTTTGTCCAGGGTCTTATTCCTAAACAAAACGATCTTTTGAAAATCCTGAGAACTCTGTTAACTTAAAACCTGATCCTTCATATCCTTCTATAGGTTTTTCTGAATGATATAAATAGTTCAATAGGAAGATAATGCTTCTTTTGATTCCAGTGGTATTACTCACATGAGCCGGAGTAAGTCATGTGAGTTGTGATTTGCTGAATCATAGTTTAAGTTATCTTGAAATAGTTTGATGAAAAAATCAAGCTTTGGGTTAGAGGGCAAACAGGAAGATGTAAAAGGAATGAAAAATACTTTAATTTCTAGAAAATATTCCTTAAATGGACTCTATTAATAGTACTAAACAAAAATACTTTTAATAAACAGTTCAATATGGTGTATAGACAGCCACAGTTCATTTTCAATGACAATAAAATAGATGTCATTGGCAGTTTAAACCAAATATCAGTTAAATTTAAAATTTTAAATTATACTGGCTATATAAGATACTTGCCAAATTTACCATTTACCTGTTTTTAATAAGTGGTCATAGTACAACTGTTTGCTTATATTTCAGATAGAATTCTGGCCCATAACCTGTTTCCTTAGCAACCATATATGAATAAAAGGTGCCTTACGAAAACTGCAGACGTGCGTTGGTGAATGCATATTAACCAGTAGAATCTATCTGCATAGTATATGCTCATAGTAATGAATGCATAGTGAAAATCACCACGACAGAGGTTACCAAGCATGTCCCAAAGCAGATTATTAATTCTCCAAGGGCCTGATCCAAAGCCTGTTGAAGTCAGTGGAAGCCTTTCCAGGCTTTCATGGGCTTTAAATTAACCCAGATTGACTAGACAAAATTACCATACAAATGTATGGTAAAAAGGCCTAATCCTACTAAAGAAAGCCTGGACCACTTGTGAAAGATTCTGAGTACCTACAGTTCCTTTTACTGGTTTTCAGAAGGTGCTCAGTCTTTCCAGGACTGAGACTAGAGCCAGTATCCAGTAGCGAGATTTATATACTGTACTTGACTTGGAGCCAGTCTTAGGTAAATGGATTTCTCATGAAAACCCCATTGTTTATGGTATTTTTGTTCTACCCAAAGTACCAGGTCTGGAAGTCATGGCAATGAAGTACTATTTTTGTCTTTTAAAAAAGTAAGTTATAGAGGAATGAAAGCAGCTACTCATATGGATCGTCTGACATGATTCAAGGACCAGATTGCAACCTTTAGGCAATTCTCATCCTTTTCATCAAAATAGGAGTAGCACTGCTAATTCAAAACAAACAAGCATATCAGGCTTGGTGGAGTCTCCACTGACAAAATTAGGCCAGAGACTAGATTTGATGAATTGCTAACAGTTTATTGAGCATTATCAACAATAGAATATACCATAAGCAAAGCCATTTGAAAACTAAAAATACAAAAAGGCATAAAAATACTAAATTTCCAGGGGGTTTCTTAATTCCTGTATTTTAAAAAGTAGGTAAAATATGTTTAGCCAAATTCCTCCCTGACAAAACTCACATTGAAATTATGCCAGAGATGTATCTTGCCATTGTTTTAAAATGTTCCTTTATGTGTGGAATGAAAGCTTTCACACTGCTTTTCAGGAAGGCATTGGTCATAAGCATATGCTAGATCCTTAACTAGATCATTACTAGTGGACACATCGGTAAGTGTTTAAATTAAAAACTAAGATGTTAATTATTAAAAATGACAGGGGAGGAAATGCTAGGCTCCCCTCCTCCCCTCTTCGATTTTATTCTGAGAATATTTTTGTTGGGACATGTATAACAAACAGGCTGACTAAAAAACTACTGAAGTCAATGGAAGACTTCTATTGATTTCAGTCAGTTTTGGAACAAGCTCTAACAGAGATGCTATTATATGTAATGTGAATTTTTGAGAACACTTTGAATATGTTCATAAGTATCCACAAGTATGCCAGAATCTGATATTTATCTTGTTTAACTTTTATTATTGTACAGTATGTTTTTTGATAAAATGTGATCAGGCATAGATACAAGCACAATAACCAAAGCTGTGTGATTTTAAACCAAGTACTGCGTGCTATTTCTACATTATTTTTCTAATTTTAATTAGTCTAATTAGGAAAGCTGTAGGTTCTGAAATGTCTATACAGTTTTAGATCTATAACTTGTTTGACATTTGTTCCACTGTAATAAACTATCTTAGTACATTGACACAATCTCTAATATTATGACTTCACATGCATGAGAAAGGGAACTGTAGATATACAAGACCGACTCTGGAGACATAGCAGAGCCCTCTATAATGCTATACATAGTGATTGTTTTTAAATTCATAGCAGCTGATTGGATCTGACAACAGAATACATCAAGAGTAACTCTACTGAAATCAGTATAAAGCTCGAGTAAGTGAGAAGGGACCAGATGTTAACGCTTAGTCTTTACATCTTTAATCAGAGCTGAAATCAGTAGCAGTTTTGCATGAGGGAGAACTTCAGGACTGGGCGCAACAGAAGAAGATCTATGGGTCAGGTGTGCAGTCATGCAGTTGAATCCCCTTTTGATTCCAGCTGTACCCCAACTTTAAAAACAATTACCTAAGAGGAACAGTGCAGTTCAATTCAGTTGACACTGAGGGAGTCAGTTGATGTCCTGGCTTATTCTAATCTATCTGGTTCCTGCTAATCTGTCTTCACTCCATAGGTGTTAAGACCATCTTTCCTTGTTAATGGTCTTAATGTTCCACTATTCAAACTGTCCTTTCTTCTGCATTTTTGCTGCCTGTTAGCCATGCCTGGTAATGTCACTCTTCTGTTTCATAGCCCTGCAGACTGTTTTTAGTTCAAGCTACAAGTCTTAACTCTGGGGTGATAATATTAACTCAGGTGTAGAAATGACTGAGTGAAGTATCGGCGGCATGGTCAAGATGCTCAAGAAGACTAAATTTCATTTTAAGAATTTGAATAAGAGATGTATCTTTAGCTATAATGCCTACAGAACTAACTAAACCATATCTTTTTACTTTTTTGAATATTTTAACTAGCCTGTTGTGTTTTTACAATTTAATATTATTGAACTAGTGAATTATTGAACATTTCAATAAAGTTATTTGTTTTTCCTTGATCTTAAACTGAATAATACAGTACTAGGCCTGTAGCTTATTAGCAAAGCATCTAGTTTCTCTTTACCTAGAGAAAAATGTTCAGTGTTATATAGGACGATGCACTATCTCATCTGCACCCCCCTTTTAAAAATCCTAGATATACCCATAGGGCCCAGAGCTCTGAGTTATGCCTTCTAGATTCACCAGAACAAGTCCTGTTAACTGCTACATTCAGTGGCACAACTTGACCAGTGAAAATCTAAAATATGTACTCCAAGCCTGCAGCATGCTCCAACTCTACAGACCACTAGTTGTTAACGCAGAATTGAATTTTGCCTGAGACCAACTGCACATACCTACAATTTTAAAGAGACAGTCATCAATCATGTCACAGTAATCAGTTCAGTGAGAAACTGTGACCAACACAATTTGCTGGATGAGGGAATGTGGAATTTGTATTTTAACTGGAAAAAAATTGGAAAAATTACCCCAAATATTTAATAATTTTCCCCCTATTATATTCCACTGTCCACAGTTATAAAATACATCATAAGCTGCTAGTTGAAACATAACTACTGTGGAAAAATATGATAGACAAAGCTATGTAGTAATGTTCATTTTAATATCATATCAGAAAAATAGGTATCACATTGTAAAATGTGAAATAAATTCTCCATAACATTGTCACATATAAAACTCCCATTTTGTAATTCTGAAAAATGTTACAAATGGGCTCAGATATTTGTGGGAGGTTTCCTCAGAAACTGGAAAAGAAAAGATTAAATAGACTACTTCACAGTTTTAATTCTGACAATTAAATGAATAACAGAATATAACATTATTGTCCAAAATGCCTAAGCTGCTTTTTTTTTAAAGCTATTGAGATATAACAATTAATAAATTTAACAATGAGAATAAAAAGATGAAAAGGAAGATAGGAAAACTTTCAGTTTGTAAGCACAGCTTCATAACTACTGTTGCCTGTGAGCAAAGGTCATAAATGTAGGAGGATGG